ATCGATTCTATAAAATTAATCGATTCTCAGAATCGATTCTAAATTAATCGATTCTAGAGAATCGATTCCTATCCCTAATTCCATGAGCCATTGTATGTTCAATTAGATTTGAATCGGGACTATTGTATGTTCATTTAGATTTGAATCGGGACTTTGGGCAACCCATTCCAAAGTTGTAATATTTTAAGCATTATCCTGTTGAAAGAGTATAAAAAATTATTATTCATCCAAACAATTAAAATTTTTTGCCAAAATATTATTAGAATCAAGATTATATTAATCTTTACTAAACCCATTCAATACATCATCATATTTTACTATTGAAATTACACAATTTTTCCAGCATTTTGAGAAGATTTTAATATACTCTTATACATCCATCTGAATGAAAAAGAGAAAACTGTAACCCATCTGATCATATAATTTGATGTCATTCGGTATTCCATTTTTTTCTTTGCACCATTGTAAATGAGTTTTTTATGTCGAAGAGTTAAGAAGGGTTTATGAATTGCATAGTAGGATTCTAGTATCATGTAATTACGAATAGTATTGAAGTCTATTGAATTTGGTAAGAAGTTTATTTAGTTGACTAGATTAAGTGATGCCTTTTTTTATGATAAGTTTTAAATTTCATTTATCATGTTCAGATGATAAACCAGAATATTTTACAGGATGTGGTGAATCTGTTTCTTAAATTGATTTATTATATCACGTACTGTTTGCTTCGGAATGGCCAAATTAGAGTGATCTCTCACATGATATGACTGATTATTTGTTTACGAAATTCTAATGACAGTTTTCCTTTGTGGTAAAAGTATTATGAATAAAAAGAAGAATTGTTTTCAGATATGTTCTGGAATTTCGGGATTGGTGGTCAAAAATCTTCTAGATAAGGTAGTTTAACTTTTCATGTGATTTTTATTTCTGAAATGGTCCAATCCCAACTTGGTCATAACATATACAAATCTATACTATAGCAGACTGAGTCTATAACAAATCATTGTTGCCTTTGCAACGAAAATCCCGCGACTACGAAAATTCTGGAACAAGATATTAATAAATAAGTAAACTCATGATGATACAAAATTCATATTTTGGTAATTTTGTAAGAATTTCTATGAATCAGAGGAATAACGTACGATACGAACATTTGTAAGAATTTCTAGTGATAATCACATTCTTGGGAACGCAAGAAATTCGTGGGATTTTTGGTTGAGGTGATATGGGACAATAAGAATAAGTATTTTTACAAAATTAATGTGATTAAATTGATTTTGTTATATTCTTTGTCTCGAAGCATATCCATGCTACCTTTGTAAAAATTCTTACAAAAATTCATACTTGGTACGTGAGAACCCGCGAATTTTGTAGTAACTTACAAGCTACTGCTTTGGCCATACAAAGTTGATGAATCATGTTTGTTTCTTTGATTTATTGGATTATGCAGTTATTTGATTTTGACATTGTTACTCATTTTTTATTGTTTTTTGAACTATTTTTATGTTTTGGATAAATATTATTTGAATTTATTAGTAATTTTCATAGTTATTTTGTTATTTGTAATTAAAGTTATGTAATTAATTATTATTACTTTTGTTATTTGAAATTAAATATTATATTTTACCTTTGCCCTTGAAATTCCTCATCCTTCAGTATAGCTCTACTGCGTAATTCGTTCGTCAACCTAACTTTCGAATTGTGCACAAAAATATAATGCACTAGTGAACTGACCCATCCGTTATATATATCGACTTTGGTTGTCTATATGGCACGTCTCTAAAGTACTGTGAATATAGATTTAACTCTCTTTATAATGAGCTCATTAGAATAAAAACTAATTAAATTTTCGTTATAGCAAATTTGAGTTCAAAGCACCCGTATAAAATACTCTTTATATTAATAAATTTTTGATATAGCAAGTTTTAAAATTTTTCTCTAATTGAATATAACAAGTTAACTGTAATTAGTAACGGTAACTACTGTTACACCTATCCGATCTATTGGATTCAAAGATGGACAGGTTTAACGGATTCGCGATAGGATTAGACTATGGTTTGTTGGTCTTGGAAAGCTTCTTTAAGATACTCTAAAGATTTCTATACCAGCAACTACAGTTACTGAGGATGGCAAAAGATAAGTTTATTGATAATAACGGTTGATTTGGGTATTGGAAAAAGGGGATTACACGACTAATCACAATTGATTCTTTAAATATAGACTATTTTTTAAGGGTTATGGGGCAAATTTCTCAAAGTCACAAGATGAATGTTCGAATCAAAATCGCTTTACGGCTAGACTATTCTCTCGAAAGAATTCACACAATAACGGCTTTCTTCTGGTAAAATCCGAATTTCAATAATACAAGCAACAAAAGGTAATTCTAACTCAATTACTTTTTTCTTTATTATAACTTGTCTTGATTAAAGGCCCACGAATGCCTATATTAGCTGGATACATGTCCAGACTATACTAATGAACTATTCTATTTTTACAGCGATTGAAATGATCAAAAATACCATACAAAACACTATACAATTTAATGTACAAAAGAGTGGACCAAAGCGTATACAAAACAGTGCATAAAAGTATCAAAAGTAAGTACAAAAGTGTAAGTAGTATTTTGATTATTGTAACAAAGTAAATAAACAAACGCAAAAATAAAAAAATTATTGTAATCGGTCGATCCCAAGTACATGTAACAAACTTTATTCGAACATACATGTAAAAAAAAATAAAAATGAAATTCTATCCTATTATTGGGTATTAAGTGTTCGAAGTATGTAATTAAGGTGGTTTGGGGGCTAAATGTTTTATGCTTATTGCTTTTATTATTTCTTTGTTGCTTTGGTTTTTCGTTATTAGTTTCCGAATTAAGTCCAGGTAGTATGAACTGATTACCTGCAGGTCACGTCGGAAGGATCATGGGTTTAGATCGCAATTAGGGAAACTTTCATGCTGCAGGTGGCATTACATATTTGAAATAAAACGCGTTTCCTGTGAATATATATATATGTGTGTGTGTGTGTGTGTGTACATAGTCAAGAGATTTTTGTAAATAAAATTTCCTATATAATTTTCAATTGCAATTTAGAAAATAGAAAGTCAAACTGTGGACACACTCCTTTAAATGAATACATTACCATGGACCAAGCTTATACATGTACATGTATATTTATGCATTTAGAGTTGTATGACTGTATTCGGTAGTACATTATCGTTATGTGTCGCAGTAAACTTTTGAGTTACACGCATTTGTTTAAGTAAATGAACAAAGTACACCATCAATATATTGTTATATGATTTCTTATTGCTAATAAAAAGCCTTTAAGATTTTTTCTATAACTTCATTTTGTATACGTTGCATTCGTTTTCGAGGGATTGCACATTTAAAAAGACCAATCACATAGAGCTAAAAAACAGCTTCCATTTAGAAATTTCTTTTATAAATACATACAGAACTGCCATCGAATTTTAAAATGAATAATCCCAAACTAATAATAATATTTTTATTAATGTGTATCGTTAATGTTTTAGCTCAACAAAGGTATATAAGACTAAAAATGTACAAGACTTGTCGTGATTTTTTTAATTTTAATATCGATATGATCATCTTGTTTTAGCGTTAGTCAAACAACGTCGTCGACGTCTATTCCTATCTCACCAACTCCACCTGGAGGTAATAATAACGGAAATGGTAATAACGGAAATGGTAATAAGGGAAATAATAATGGTCCAACATTTACAAATCCAAACCAAGGCAACAGTCCTACAGTTGCTATAAAACCTATTTCACCTACTTCAAATGGAAATGGAGCAGCTATACCGCCGGCTACAAATACGAATGTACTTCCCACTTTACCAAATTCTACAAATCAAAAGTACATAACAATAAATATTTCCATATATAAACTTCATTCATTTATTATAATCGAAGAAATTTAAATATTTTCTATTAACATTATTTAATTTTATTTCATTTTAGCTCGGGAAATAGCGGTAATAACAGTAATCAACCAAATTCACCACAAGCCAATGTTGGAGATAACCAACCTGCATCAGCTAATAATAATAATAATAATAATAATAATAATAATAATAATAATCAACAAAATCCACCACAGACTGACACCGGAAATAATACACCTGCACCAGTAAGTATTAAAAATTCAAACACACTTACATATCAATCCGTTCAGCAAACTGAAAGTAAAAATAATAACTTTAATTCTCAGTCAAATCCACAAAATGAAGTACCTACACAAACAATTACTGAGAATAATTTACCTACTTCGCAGGGAAAGCCAAATTCTGTTAATATTGCACCCAGCTCCATCACCTCTATAAAATATTTTACATCCACTTTGGCAACTTCCGCCACACTACTAATTACTACCACTGAAAATTCTTCCACGAAAGTAATTACCACTATTGTGGCTTCATCTAAAGTTGTTGTTTCGTCATCTAAAGTGATAGTTGCTGCAACAAACAGTAACTCACCTAATAATAATAATCTTATTTCAAGTGCTGATTCATTTCTTCTCATTGATGAAATATTTGAAAGTATAATAATAACTTTAATTAGCGTTTTCGGCTTAAGTTTGATTTTTATCTGAATAATAACTAGTTTAATAATAATTAATTTCAATTATTTTTAATCTATAACAAAGATTTATGAACAAAATAAAATTAGACATTAAATTTTACGGTTACAGTATGCGTTTAGCCTTACGTGCTTTTGTTGAGCTAAATCGTTAACGTTGTATATTAGGAATAATAATATTACACGAATTATTATAATTAGTCAGATTTTCTTAAAAATTTTTTTATTTATAGAACATTTAAAAAATTAAGCCTCCGCTACATATACTGTGGCTTCCTTGTTAGTAATCAAGAAACATCTAAATGAAAGTTTATTTTTAGTTCTTATCGTTATTTTTGAGTGTGTAATTTCTCGAAAAAAATATGCAAAGTACAAAAAGAAATTCTATTGATTGTGTTTCAAAAGATTATGCAAACACATTATGAGACTAGTACATTTTTAATGGGATAGTGACATTTTTGAATATGCAATACATGTATAGTCAAACCTTGTTAAAGTGACACGTTAATATGACAGTCTCGTTTATATGACCAAATCAAACAATACAGCTCTATATATAAATTGTTCTTTATTATTACATATTTATTAATTATGACATTTTTCCTTTCTGTCATATTAACGAAATATTTTTAGCATATATGTTTTTGATCTTAATAATAAATCTTTTTAACTTGTATCAATAAGCTATAGTTTCACATATGTTTTTTCAGATGTAATTCTAATTGTAAAGTCAATATAGATTTTTTTTAATCAAGAATCTGAAAAAAATGTGAAAATATATGACTATATTAGTTTGTAAATTAAGTTCTGGATACCAATAGAAGAATTTTTTAAAATTGCACAGTAGAATTTAGTTCTATTCTTTTAAAATTGACTAGGTTTATTGGATGTGATACACTATACTATTACATGTACCATTATTTCGTTAATTATATGCACACATGTACATGTATTATGTTTTTTCAGCATGTCTTTCAGCACAAGTGATCATGTGATTTTCAGCACCTTTTTTTAACACAACCAATCGCGTAATTTTTCAGCAAAATTTTCAGTGCAATTCTTTTTTTGTCATATATATTATTTTATTATGATTTAGTCTAAATTTTATCGACGTAATAAGAGTAATAATGACAATCCGCTAGTTGGTTAAGAATAAAAAATGATTGCTAAATAGAAAAAAAAATTGAAACCAGTCTTTTTTTCACGGAAGTAATTACTGTATGTACAGTCCTTTTCAAAAGAATAAAATTGTGTATAGTCTTTTCTTCAAGTAATAAATACTTGTAAATCGCGCCGTAATCGTATCGAATAGATTAATTAGCTTTCATATTGATTACATTAGGCTCCTACTTGTTATAATGTTTTAATTACTTGCGACATTATTTCTTTTTAGTGATCTTCAATATAATTGAATCGTTGCATGCGATATTCTAAATTCTAACTTTATCGTGTAACGATATTCAGCCCCGAGCGTGCATTTACTGTATGTAAGGTAAACATATATATTAATATGTACAATTTCATTCATGATCTCGTTCATGTGCAACAATGGGTTTTCATGATTACGTAAGCACTTTCGATGCTATAATTAATAATACGATATTTTTCATTGATAAATAAAAATAAAAAATAACACGAATTAAAAATAAATACGTAATACAAGAATTAAATACAATAATTAAATATAACAATGAATTAAATTAAATTAAATAAAAAAGGTTTCTATTTGAAGTTAGTTATTTTATGATTTACGGTGCCCACAATTAGATCACTGTATTCGAATCTGTTTCTGTCATCACAACTGTATCAGATTCGGATTGATCCACCTCTTTAGCTGGCATTCTGTAGTCTGGATAAGCGATTATGTGTTCTTCGTTCAAATAATGTGTGGGTGCTAATTGATGTCGCGGTTTTTTGCAAACTTGGATAGCGAAAAATATTTTTTCAAGTAATTTCACGAACACGATAATTGCACCTGAAAAAATTACGACAAATGGCACAATATCCCACGTGATCACATTTAGACGATATATCACCTGTTGACATAGGTTAAGTTGAATAATAGAATTTTAATATTAATTGCGTTTGGAATGAATTAACATTCTTTTTTTTTATTTACCTGAACTATAAGTTGAGGAACATCTTCAATCAACAATCCAGCAACAGAACCCCAAAAAAGCCATTTCTGTGCTTGTTCCGAATAAACAGCACTAAGAAAATCTAAACCAGCGAATTTCGATGACAAAATGTTCAATGCTTCGATATCAGCAGTCGACAAAACCGTGAAAAATGAACATATTCTTCCATATCTTGCGAACCATTGATGAAAATCTAACAAGAGAATACAAACAAAAATCATTAGCAAAACTCTTTTCAACTTTGTTTTCAAAAAAAATATAAAGTTACCTAAATTGACATGATTCTCGCGAGCGATTATAAAACTAGCAAGGAATATATTAATCCCACTCGAAGCAGTCAGGATAATAACACTGCAAATTCAAATAATATGGTTATTTTTTTACAAGACCGCCTGCATCGTTAAATTTAAATTTAAATTTATGTCGACGTATTTACCTTGGCAAATATAATCTCGGCACATCTTTGCCATTGAATTTAATAAATAGAACATCAAACACAAAATCGACGATGATAATAACAAATTGAAAGATTGCTAAATTATTGCCCTATTGTTTAAAATTGAATTTGAATAAGCATAAGAAATGAAATTAGATTAAATTAAATCAAATTCAATGCGTAATATTTACCGAAGGATACGCTCGTCTAGCAAAGAGATAAATTCCCACGATAACGACAAACCCAAGCAGTACTCCTATCAATTGCACTTTATATTTATCCCAGAAATTTGCTTAAATAGAAATGTATAAGCATAAGTTTCCATAGTAAATATGAATACATTAAATACTCTGTAAATATAGTGTATATACATACGAGAAATACTGAATCCGTATGTATCATCGAGATATGATGTTGGAGGCATAGTACCTATTGTACTAATATCTTTATTGCGAATCAATTCGTCTATATTATCTGCAGCTTTTTTGACTGTAATTTGTGACGCATTTCCAGCCAAAATTTTGACCGAAAGTAATATTTGCTCGCTTGGAGCATCCGTTTGGAATTGGAATCCGTAAATAGGCGATAATCTCGATGAATCGATCGGTGTAATTATTGACAACGCGGTTAATAAAAAGTCATAAAAGTCATTCCTTTCGGAATGATTGGAGTTTTTGTATATTTGAGTTCCCTCAGGATTGAGTCGAAGAAAACCGACAGCAGAGGCTACACAAGATATTAATAATTAATCAAAGGGTTTATTGTAAAATTTAAAGGTATTTATTTACCTGCAAATTCTCCGTTGTCAGTTGTATTGTCTATGATCAATAAAATGGTTGTTAGTACGAAAACATAAGAGAGAAAACTTCATTGCATGAAGATGATACATGTACTTGCCTACGTTAAAATACCATCGGTGATCTACAATGCCATGCATCGGTTCTTCTAGAATGTAGTCCACAACAAAATTATCCTCTACTTGCACGTAATAGGCACCCGGCTGATCGAAAGTGCTATTCAATACAGTGATTGATACAGTTTTATTATCTTCCAACACCCGACAATATCGAGTATTTGCGAAGACAAATTGACGAAAGAGTTCACCCGTATCATCATATTTGATAATGGATATAAAACTCGTGGAAAATTTAATCGTGTCCGTAAATGTAATGTTAATAGTTTTAGTTCCACTTTGAACTGTATCATTGATGGCTGGGTAAGTGGTTACAACCTTCGTGTTAAGATAACCTTGTTCTATAGTGGATAATAGAAGAATGAGCGAGTTTCTTGGATTAATCATTATTAATTGAATTTAACTGAAAATTACCAGGAAGAAAACGTGGAAGCTCAGTTGTGACGATTGTCCAATTTTTTGTTGTGCTGTTTGAAAGAGACCAAAAACTATAGTTTCCAAAAATACCAGACACATAGGTGATTGGGACGTTATTCGGAAAGTTTAAAGTCGAGTTACGAGCTCTGTTAACATCATAAATAACACCTTCTATATATGGACTCGTTTGATTTGGTTTTGATAGCATAACGAGATATCCCCCGTAAAAGAGCGGATATATTGTCGTTACGGGACTACTATCATTAAGAAATTGATGCATATTTGTGATGTCAGTGATCGCGCCTGACGATAAGAAAGATATTTGGATCACCATAGTAGGAGTTCCAGATGTGTCTGATGAAAATTGTAAGAGGCACCCATATCCAAGTGTATCATAAAAACTAAAGCATGTATTTATAGATATAGATGTTAATCTCAACTCGGTTTGATATAATAAGAATGAGGGTGTAAATATGTTGGCTTCCAATCGTAGAAATGACACTTGTACTGTCCATTGAGGATCAACAAACATGGCAACCGATATATTGTCTGTAGAATATGTATGATTTGCTACATATGCAAGTGCAAATGAACCATCAACCGTTGGAAAAACATTGGCTTGTGTATTCTCTTCATTAAGAGTCCCATTTCGTAAAATTTGAAAATTTCCATATTGATCACTACAACAGAAGACATTTTAAGAAATGCAATTATACAAAATACTTTGATACTTAAGCGAAAATCACTTACAATTGACTTAATTGCGTCCATGCGATAAAATTTTTTTCATTGTATGAAGTAATAAACAGAAATCCGTTTCTACCAAGAAAGTGCCCCGTAAGATCATTATACGAATTTATTTGAGATGACATTTCTGGTGTTAACGTTATTGAATCTCTATAAAGATGATCAATTATAGTTATTTACTTTTAATTATTAATTGTAACTTATGAATAAGTTACCCTACGACTTCTCCATCCAATGTAAAGACGATTCCTTTACGTATAAAAGTCGTAAAATCATCAGTGTCGAGATATGTGGCGATGAGATGTTTGTTGTCAAGCTGATGAAGCGAAAGTGTAGAAGAATGATAATTTTGAACACAAAAATTAAATTCTGGGATTTCATAATTCAATGTGACTTTAGTAACATTTCCAATTGAACCGAGTAGTCTTAGGGTTATTTCTGGCTCGAGGCACGTATCGTTTTTTTGTCGCGTTACCCTTAAACCTATTGTGTCACCACCAAATGTAAAGTATTCATTATATGTGACATTCACTTCTTCTTTCTCTGTATAAGTAAACGTAGTATAGGCATCAACGTTTTCAACATATAAAAACGTTGCGATGAAAAAACATAAAAGGTTAAAATATATTAAAAAGAAACGTGATTTGAATAAATTGTACATTTTTTCCTTGAAAAATCTAGATTTTCTATTAACAGGTATTAGATTTATATACAATCATTTAGTCGCTGCGTACAATTATTTTTAGTATATATATTTAGCAGAAATCCTGTCGTATTACGTTGATCAAAAAGACCATTTACGTATTGTCACCTTGTTATGGGTCTATGAAAAAATTGCATATAACGGTCGGTAAACTAGCACATTTATTAAAATTTAACTAAATAAATGTACATGTACAATGTACATTTATTAAATCTATCTACTTGTACGATTTAATCGATATGCGTGCGTGTATAATGTATTTACATGTACATGTAAAAGTTTTTTTTTGAAACACTATGAAAATTTCTAAATTCAATTCACTATCGATTAAAAAAAAAGGTGATTAGAAATAAGGTGATCAAAAACAAGGAGTTTGCACGTACAATATTGATTTGTGTCCATATTTGTTTGACAGTGGAAGAATAAATTACAGTAATTCTTTTTTTAGCCAAATGTTAACCTCACAATTTTTCTTAATAATTGGACTTTATGAATTCTTACAAATTTTGTTTTCTATTTTGTCGTGATTTTGAAATTTGAATCTATTAAAATTCGTACCAAAAACTTTAAGATGGAGAGGCTGAAATTTTCTTTAATCATAATAATTCTCTGTTATATGAATCAGAATCTCGTCTTTGGGCAACAGTAAGTATTCAATGCATATTTTAATTTGTCAATTTACCCAAGTTTTCGCACAAAGTAAAATTCTAGAAATTATCCAAAAAGATCTTCAAATGTAATGACAACACACCCAGTAACGGTAATCACTTCGTCAAAAGAGGATATTAATTTAATTAGTAATGCAAACATCGGAAGTGCTGCTGCTGATGTATCATCTAAAGAACCAACAAGTACAAAGGTACTTCAAACACCATCATCGGCTTCAATCAATCAAGATACACCATTAACGAGTGTTGGGATTTTTCCAAGTATAACCTCTTCAACAACTTTCATATCAAATCCAGTAACCTATACAAATCCAGTAGCAGGAAATGTAAATCAACTTGATAATAAGCCAATCACCGTATCCACACAAACGATATCTAAAGATCAATCAATTCCAGCAAATCCAGCTACGCTTTTACCAGGATCAATAAACACTGGAGCGCCTCCAAAAGTTCAAAGTATAACGACAACAACAGCTTTCACAATGACTCAAACGTTACAATCCCCAACTTATCCTAATCAAGCAACAGGAAACATAAATCAACTTAATAATAAGCCAATCACCGTATCCACACAAACGATATCTAAAGACCAATCAATTCCAGCGAATCCAGCTACACTTTTACCAGGATCAATAAACACTGGAACGCCTCCAAAGATTCAAAGTATAACGACAACAACAGCTTTCACAATGACTCAAATATTACAATCCCCAACTTATCCGAATCCAGCAACAGGAAATATAAATCAACTTAATAATAAGCCAATCACTGTATCCACACAAACGATATCTAAAGATCAATCAATTTCAGCAAAGCCAGCTACATTTTTAGGATCAATAAACGCTGGCGCTCCGCCAGAAGCTCAAAATATAACAACATCGACAGATTTCACATTAGCGGGTACTCAAGTAACACAATCGTCTCCACCTTATACCAATCCAGCAACAAATCAGCTCAATAATCCAATTATCGTGTCCACACCAACGGTAGCTAAAGATCGGTCGTCTGAAACTAAAGCAAAAGGCATTTATACACTTCCTATTACTCAAGGGACAAACAATATACCTAAAGTCGATAATGGTGGAACTAATTATAATACCAATACTCCAAAAGTTATTTCCTCATATAGCAATACTGTTACATCAAATCCAACTGAAATTACAAGAATTAGTGATTCAAATGAAATCATCAGCACAACTGAATCCCAACATAAATTTTCAAGTTCAGACACCCGTAAAGTTAATTCACCCTATGAAAATATCATCACATTAAATCCCGCCATGACCACGACTAGCACTATTGAATCTCAGCCTCAAATTATTTATGTTTCTTACAATTGGGAATCTTCCTTGTCATCATATATTAATATACCCATGAGCAGCCCATTAAAATCAACTGAACCATCAAGGACGAGTTTAAATTATAGTTCAAATGCTTCTTGTGTTTCGACATATATCAAAAAAATGGCTGCACTATATATTTTCTTTTATTATCTTTATTAGTACATGTATTATAGATAAATTTAATTTAATATTTAATATGTATAATATTTAATATCCCCATAGTCAACCTATTGATTTTTGATTTTTTATACTCTCCTCCTCAATAATTGCGACTTCGGTAAAAGAATAATAAAAATTCAATAAACTCGGATTATACTGTAACTAGGCCAAGTTGATATCCGCTGTTTTCAGAAAATGGCTTATTGGCTCAGAGCTTTTAATATGACATGTTTGATCGAGTGTGCTTATTGTTATGCTTCCCGCTTTCCGCTAATTAGAGATAAACTCATGTATCTTTTTATCATCTGCCGTAGCCCTATATATGCAGTAGCTCATTAAAGAAATGGAAAATGAAAAGCTTTGCAAAAAAATTTTGTGCCTCTAATAATGATTAAATGTTTCTGGTTCCTATACGCATTTTAACGTTAATAACCTAGAGAATGTCAAAAAAAGACCTAAAAATATATTAATGTTGTTGCCATTCTAAAGAGATTAAGTGATTTACATGATATATTTTTGATTGATGAAGTTTTAGCACCAAGTCTTTTTGTTATCAGGAAATCCTGAAGAGGATTAACCTAACTCTTGATGAGAAATATCTACATACGAATTTTCAGTAACAAATTCGTTTAACCTTAATTACTAGATCCATAATATTAAATTAATGCCAGTAGAAACAAGTTTATTAGCATTGATTTGTGATTTCGCGATAACTAAACGAATTTGCTATCAATTTAGCTGAAAATTAGTATGTAATTATTTTTCATCAAGAATCTTCTTCAGGATTTCCTGATAACAAGGATATTCCGGCATTAACAAAAAAATTCATTTAGATCACTTAATTTCTTTAGAATGGTAACATTTGTATATTAAACTTTAAATGCGTATAAGGACCAAGATACATCTAATCAACGTTAGATTAGAGGCACTAGAATTTTTTCGTCAAACTTTTCCTTTTCCGTTTCTTTAGTGAGCTACCATATGGTCAGTTGTTGTGAATTGTGCATGTTTGAACCAGTGTTTAAAATCCAAATTCAAAGTCATATTCTCAGATGCTCCAAAATTTTTTTATTTTTTGTAACGATGATAATTTAAATAAAATAAATTCGATGATCAAGTTTACACTTTTTTTCATATATTAATTGAAATTAAAATTTTTTTAATTTTGAACCATTAAAGAAAATAATTAAGAGTAAAAATATTTAAATGAGATAGAGAAATTGAAGTTATGTTGAAACTATAGAACAATTCAAAGCAAATTAATAAACAAAATAAAAAAATGAATATATTATAAGTGAAAGCTGCTTTTGTTTTCTGGTGAAGCGCTCAAGAGTTAATACACTGTAAGAAAATGTCGTTTCGTATTGAAAAATATAGTTCCGCCACTGGAAATTTTGATTTATTACAAGACGTCTACTGTAAAATAGACTACATGCAAACGGTATTATGTGAAATGAGAAATCATATAGGATTAATTGTTCTTAATAATGCTTTAGAATTTGGGAACAAAAAAAGCATGAAAATTTTCTCACTGAGAAAACTTCATTCTTACAAAAGGTTCTCAAACAATAGAACCTTTTATTGAGCATTAACAAAAAGTTCAGATGTTCTCTGAAAATCATGAGAACATCAAATTGAAACATGGTTTGAATATTCTAGCGCAACCATTGTATTTTAGTAATGATTATTCTAATAACGATAATGTGATCATAAACGTTAAAAATTAATCTTTTTATTATTCAGGCTAAGTTTTGGATGTCGGTAGAAATCACGAAAAGTTACTATAAGCAATAAATTTTCTTGACATTTGAGAATCTTTTAAATGTAAAAGAAAATAAAAACCAATTTATTCTGAAATAAAATAAGATCCATTTAACCAGATATTATTTGTTCTTTATAAAGCATGAGAAATACGAAGCGCCATTAACGAATACATTGATTAATGTTAACAAATGACTCGTATAAGTTACTCCACTTTTTATTACCATACAATATAAAGATTCAGTAGAAAACGTTAAAGATTTCGAAGCCTGACAATTGGACTTTTAAGCGGCAAGCAAATATGAGTGAAAAATTAAGATTATCCGGGATAATAGCGAAATAGTGCCAGAAGTTTATAATGTGATTATAAGATGAAAGAGTTTTTAAAATTGTAACTATAATTATGAAACAACAAGAATTTTTTACTCATTATCTTTATAATCTAAAAACTCTTATTATATACATGTACATGCATGTACTTTTTAAGAATGAGCAAGGAATGAATATTAATATGCATAAAAATGTGAGGAAAATCAATCTCATCTTTAGAAATAAAGAACAAATTTATATATGTATTTTGTTGTTACGAGAACGTATATCAAACATATCACCATTTAATTATTATGTAGCTTTGATATACATGCACATGTACATGTACATATACATATACATGTAAGGCAGATTTGCTAGGTACATGTACAATGTATACATGTGCATATACATGTATAATGTTAAGGAGGCTTGCATAATCTGTATCAAATATTTCTTGAGACGATTCTAAAATATGGAGAAAGTGTTGTTTCATAGATTTTCATGCAAACAAAAAGGTTTTGAGACATAATACAATAAGACTTTTTGTTTGAGTCGTAATATCAGGAAGAACAATAATACGATCTGAATGGGTATCATCATCAATAAATAGAATACCAAAGAACAAAGGTTTTTAGTCTAGAATTTTGGTTTATTTCTTTAATTTTATTACTCTGTATAAATCAAAATGTCGCTTAATAATGGATTAAAAGCCATAAAGCTAATTAATCTTTATTTTTATTACATTAACAAGAGTTTATTGTTTGGAAAACTTAATGTCGTGCTACAAGAATAACAAAAGAACAACGTAAGCGAAGAATCGTATCGAAGAGAATATCACATTAAACAATCAGACTCATTTTTTAGATAAACAAAAATAGGAACAGCTCAAACCAATTCAATTCCCAACCATTTAGCAATATCGAAGAATCAACTCAAATTGTGACCTCATCTAGAACTCAAATCACAAATCTTAGTCAAGTCCAGCAAACTCCAAAAGGAAAACGCTATTAAAGAAACTAAAACATCATCTATACCCATTTCAAGTTTCCCTCAATGATTCCCGATCCGCCATCAGCATCTCCTTCTCAAAACGAGAATTCAGAGCCAATTCAGTAAGTTTTTTCTTGATAATTGACTTTAAAAATTCAAATTTTTGTGCCTAATTAATTTTACTTAATTTTGTTTAATTTCTCTCAGGAATGCTAAACCTGCTCTAACCAACAAATAAATGCATTATGTATTTTGGATCATTATCAAAAAAAATATAAATTTTCTAAAAAATTATAGGGATTTGAATCCGATCCCGAACAAAAACTCACTGAAAATTCCCAAAACAGCGGAAAATGCAAATCCCAATTCTCTACATCTCTCTCAATCAAAAGGAAAAAAAATTCATCACATAAAAAAAGTAGATTCGATTGCATCTTCTTCAAATAAAAATTCAACACGTTAATACTTACTATACTTGAACCTTCACAATCAGCAGGATCACCAACGAAAAACAGTGAACCAATCCTGGATTAATGATAATTATAATATCTCACCTACCGCTTCTGAGCGCTAGTGCTTCTATAAAAAGTCCGGCTTCTTTTATCACTACAATTGGTGGTAATTCATAATGGACGGATTTTCAATCTCTTCAATGTCAACTGCAAGTGGTACTAGGAATCCTCCCCTTTAATCGTACCCTTCGTCTACGAATAAATTAAATTATCTTTAACAATATTTGTATAATGCATGAACTCAATTTTATACTATTAAAATTCAAATAGTTTGAATGTTTTTGTAAATTAACAATTATATTTCTTATAGTAAAAATAGACTATTTACTAATAAATAAAACTATTTGAGTTTATTTCATTCTCAGATTTATTTATGTAGTTAATAACTTTTTGTACTCGGAGATCTTGTAAGAAGAGTTTATATTAATTCTAATTAATAATAAAAAAGATTATAATAATTCTTTTATTAAAATTCTAATTTCGTAATTAGTTTATAAAATGCAATGAAAAATTGCATTATATATAGATTGATAGTACATTATGTGAATAAATTTTCAAAATTATATTAAAATTGTGAAATCTTCCAGTGATTGCTATTTAATAAAATTTCGCATAAAGTAAAGCGTGAAATTGATTAAATAGTAAACCTTCAGGACACTCTCAAACAAGATGATATATTTTTAATAAAATAATATTTTTTGACTTAAGATATAGAACAGAAATTTACTGTAAATGCATACAGTTGTGACCGTTTCTATGATATGCATTAGAAGAGTTATACATTTAAAGGAGGGGGGAATCTAACAATCTAACTGTATATTAATATTCTTTGTTCTTAATGGATGCAAGTGGCTTAAGGTTCAAAGTCATAGAAATTCTTTGTTATCATTTGCTTATTCAATTTATAACTCGATTAACATACAAATTTTATTTACAGAGTCAAAAATCTGAAATGTAATTGCAAAACGTTAATAAAATCATAACATATGACAATCATTATTTGCGTTTTTTGAAATTGCCCTCCAAATTGAAATTATCCAGAACTGATCCCAATTCCATTCGACTTATCTAAATTTTAAAGTTGTGGTTCAATTGGGACTTGTTTTATATAAACAGACAACAGATTCCAAGTTCCCAAACAATGTTCAAATCATGTCCAAGTTATAACTCTTTACTTTTATAGAACAATGATAGTGAAGAACTGAGTGATAAATAAGAGCAGTAATGACAAAAGTGATAGAGATGAAATTATTGAGAATTAAGTCTCATAGAATTAGCGTTACGAATTAATTGATTATTTAATGCTTAATAATTTTATCGTTATAGAAAAGTCCTACCGGTCGTTATAAAATTTCTATATAGGTCGATTATTTTATTATAATTATTATAGTTATTAGTATTTTTATTACTATGATCGTTATTATTGTGTCTGAATTTTTTATACCAGCATTTTGTTTCTATATGCGGAACATAAATAATGCTTTAACAGTATTTGAAAAAGAAATTTCGATTTGTTATGTTAACGTTGTATTATATTATATTTAACAAATTAAAAAAATAAAAAATGCAATATTTTACAATTTATATTATTTACATGTGAAATCAAATGTATTCAAAAAGAAGAATCTTGATTATTTTTAAACTTGATATACAGTGGCCTCCCAGAATATTGTGGACACTTTTTAAAATATAATAACATAAAAATCAATAAAAAAATATGCTTTATTATTATAAACTAATAGATTTACTAAATCATAATGTACATTATCTTAAAATTTCAAGTGATTTAAATCACTGATTAAAAAAATATATAAAAAAACCTAAAATTTAAAATTTATTGTTAAACTGAAACTCATCTCACCCAAACTGTGATGCATTTTGTCTGATTCAAGACACATTTAATATTAATTAATACTTTGTTAGATCTCCCCCAGTTTTAATACAAGCATTAACGTGATTTGGCATACTATCTACCAATCGATAGCAATACTCAGGTGATATATCATGCCAGGCTTCTTGAACAAGATATTCAAGATCAATGAGATTACTTGGATTTGGTTTTCATCGAAGAGCGTTTTTGATCTCATGCCAGAGGTTTTCGATTGGGTTTAGATCTGGACTTTGAGCAGGCCAATCTAATACTCGAACTTTATTTTCATTAAGGAAATTTTTGGCAATTTTGGAAGTGTGTGGTCTTGCATTATCTTGTCGAAACCAAGTCTGATCATGATCCACATTTCCTGGATATACCTTTAATGTTGGCAAAACATACCTACGAAGAATTTCAACATGAGACTTATCTGTGGCAGAGCCATTAAGCGCAATGAGAGGACCAGTTCCATACCACGAAAAACAACCCCAATATATCTGACTAGGACTATGTTTGACAATACTGCTCATACATTCAATGTCCCATTCTTCATGTGGTTCATGCCAGACCTGACAAGATGATTGTTGAAAGAGATAAAATGTCAATTCATCTGATCACAAAATATGATGAAAATGTTAAGCTGTCCAATCTTTATGTGCGAGACACCAGGCAAGTCGTTTCTCAGCATTAATAGTGGAAATGAGTGGCTTGGGACGTGCAATACAGGACCATAAACCTTCTTTATGTAGTGCATGGCAAACAATCTTTTTTGATACATTACATTTTGTTTGAGCAGCAAGAGTAGTGGTGACTTGGGTGAGATTTAAACGATAATTTTCACTAGTAACAAGAGTCTTGAGAACATATCGATCGGAAGCAATGAGAAGTGGTGGTCATCCTATATGAACAGCTTGAGATTTAACGGTTCCTGATTCACAAAATTTACGAATAACGTTACCCACAACAGACTTTCCATAGCCTACATTAGTTGCAATAGTGCGGTATGAATCATTTTTAAGATAACCATATACAATAGCACCCTTTTGTTCAGCGGTTAAGTCTTTCTCACTTCCCATGATGTATATCACTAATAAATTAGACGAATTAGACGAATTAGTATATTACATGTTTTGTGATACTGCTAATATATAAATAAGTATCACAAGTATCACAAAAATGGAATATGTCTTGAATCAAGCAAAACGCGTCTTGAATTAAGCAAAATGCATCTTGGTTTGGACAAAATAATACGTATTGGCTTGGACAAGAATTCGGTTTAATGAAAAATTTAAAATTTTATATTTTTTTATATTTTTTTTGACTTAGTAATTTAAATCGCTTGAAATTTTATAAGAATGTATTTTATGATTTAATAAATCTATTAGCTTAGAATCATAAATCTGATTTTTTTATTGGTTTTTATGTTATTGTATTTTAAAATGTGTCCACAATATTCTGGGAGGCCACTATAGATCACAATATATTATATTCATCTTGAATTTGTATTTATTTCTTTCCAAAAGTGATGATGCATTACTTTTGATCAATAATTTATTTAAATGAAAAACTATATAAAATATACAAATTTCATAACAAACCTTATTTTGTATGTTATATAAAAATTATACCTATAAATATAATCTTTTATTTTATCTCAAAAAAATAACAATTAAATCAATATGGATTATATTACTATCAAATAAAGATCATGAATTTACATTCTTCTTGATAAAGATTTTTCTTTTTATAATATTATATAAAAAGAAAATATTATATAATCTTTTGTTATTTGTCTTAAAAAAACTTGAAATAACTGATTTCATAAAAGATTTATCATTCTTAAATTTTAACTGAATGTGAAATTTTAATATTATATAATTTATTTCAAGTAATTAGTATTTAAATACTAAGAAAAATTAAAAAATAATAATCAAATTAATATAAATAATAATATTATAAGAAGAACTTTATATAGATATAGTTTATTTATAAGAATTAAATGAAAGAAGTCTTATTTAAGTAAAAAAATATCAAAAATTAAGTTTAAAATTTGCAAAAAAATATAAAAATTGATAAATAGAAAATTAAAATAAAATATTTTGATCAAATAAGTCAAAATTTATATTATTAAATCAAATAATCATAAATATTATTAAAAATATAAAAATAAATTCTTAATAATTATATAAAATTTATAGTTAAATTTGGTGATAATAATATTATAATTTGACAATATTTGATATTAAGAATATTCTACATATTTTATAATATAGTCCAGTACAAAAAGATTGATATATTAATATAAAATTAATAATTACTTCTAATAAAAATTATTCAAATTTTAACTAATCTATATAATATTTTATATTAAATAAAAAAATAATCTAAATTAATTTTTTATACTATTTTAATTATTTTATTATACTTTAATTTAATTGTAAATAAAGTATTACTTTGCTAAATAAAATTATTTTTTAAAAAAAAATTGAAATATTATTATTATCAATTTATAATATTAAAACTTCAAATTATATAAGTAAATTACACTAGATTTGATAAATATATTTTCTAAATTTTATAAAAATTGAATTAATAATTATAAAAATATTAAGATTCAAAGTTTAGTAATTAAATTATTTACTATATAATTTTTATATTAAATTAAATTTTATATAATAAAATTTAAGAAATAACAATTCAAAAAAGTTTATATTAGTAAAATTTTTTTATAAAAGATAAATAATAAAAATTTTTATATTTAAATAAATTCTAATATCTAATAACTTGATTAAATAAGACAGAATTAAAATTTTATTTTGAAAAAATAATTTATTAATATTTATCTGATGTACTAATCTTTTTATACCAGATCATAATTATAAAGAAATTTGATTATATTTCAAGAATAATCAATTATTTTTAATAATTTTAAATTTAAATAAAAGTTATAAATCTTAAAATTTATTTAAATTTAAATTTATTAAAAATTATCAAGATATTATTAGTATAAGATAAATAATTATTTATCTTTATCTTATTTTTTAATTACCTACTGTGTTGGTAACTATGACAGTAACGGCA